GTTTTTGGACGCTTTGCTCAGAAACATGGAGAACAGCTCAGAGACGTTCAGCTACAGAACGCTCTTTGTTTGATGCAAACGGAGGCGAAACGAGCCGAAGGGTTAAAATCAGGTCAAATAAAGCTGAGAAAAGTCTCATTAATGTGTTTAATTCTTCACCTGAACCCTGAAGCGCAGAGACGACGGGCTTCTCTGCAAGAGACGTGGACTTTACAGGAAAAAAAAACTTAAAATGTGACCAATCCAACAGGGAGAAAAGAGGAATTTTCCCATCAGAGCTCATTCCTCTGCAGAAACAGAGGCTCACGTGCACGCACACACGTGCACTTTCTGCTTTATAAATCACTACAAAGAACACATTAATGATACTTTCTGCAGATATTTTCAATTTGCTTCAAGATTGCCATTAAAAATCCTTCAGCTCAGTTCTAACTTCCATAAATAATCGAGTCTTTTTTATTAATTTTTTAATTTATTTAAATTAATCTATTAATTCAGTTTGTGCACGAGTGACTAAAGAGGTTTTTATAGCAGGGAGAAGAAACTTTGTGCTCACATAAACATGAAGCATAACTAATTATATTAATATAGAACATTTTGAACAATATGAACTTTTAAATTTCTGATTTATCACAAATATTTAGTGTTTTGGAGCTCAGAGTAAGTTTCTCTGTACAGGTGAGGTGACTGCAGAGTTTATTTCTAATTTATTCATCTATAAGATTAATTTTTGTGTGTTTGGACAGGACAGGTGTCATTAGGGTTCATGAATAAAAAGTACAAAAAAATGTTTACAGGGTTGAATAAACATGGAGCAAAGAGGAATAAAGTGCTGCAGTTTCTGTTTATTTCCCTTTTAATCCATCATCTGTCACACACACACACACACACACACACACACACACACACACACACACACACACACCTCGCTGCGCTGCAGAGGTCTGTGTAAACATATTCACCGCTCCAGCTGAGATCCTCATTACTCAGCGTGACCCGGTCCAACAGAACCTTTGTTCCAGTGCCCACACAGGGAACCAGTTCCTCTAAACATATGGGACCAGTCCCAGGTCCTGGGTCCTGGGTCCTGTAGGTCCTGAGTTAGTTTTGTAAACCCTGCAGGCCTCAGCAGCACTGTTTGCTCCGAGCCTAATTTGGTTCTGCTTTACTTCCAGAGTCCAAACAGAAGGATGGGTTCAGTTCTCAGCTGTTAGAATAAATGTCTTTTATTTTGAAATGAATAAATGATGTAAAAGAAAAATAAACCAGAGTTGGGTTTAATAACACAGACGTGTACGGGGTGACATTTGTAAAGTACAGTCAAAAATTACCACCAATATTTTTGTTTTATTTAGCCTTTTATAAGAAAAAAAGAACAGATTTATTCTTCAAAGTCAGTTTTTCACCACATGATTCATACATTTATAAATGTTATTGTTTATAAACTAAATATTTAACTTACAAATTAAATATTTACGGTAGTTAGCAAGCTAAATATTTCACTTGTGACTTAAATGTTTAGTTTTGAGCTAAATATTTAGCTTGAAACTTAAATATTTAAGTTGAAACCTAAATATTTAGGTGCCTAGCTAAATATTTAACTTGCTAGCTAAATATTTAAGTTTCAAGCTAAATATTTAGCTCAAAACTAATTATTTAAGTC